AGCATTTTGTTTTTTTCTACTAGATACACCTTTTAATTTCTCTTCTTTGGCGAAAAGTCACGTAACCAGCAGAATTGTGACTAAGTAGTATCTCTATCCAGTATTCTCTGTAATTCTCTTTTTATATGGTCAGTCTTTGGCCCATTTTCATTGCTGTAGGAAATACAGGCTTGTTCTGTTCTGTACCAAAGTGATGTGAGTGAAACTATCTTATTTAAAGCAATTTGGAAATTGGTAATCGTCCTGTAGTAACCAACAACTAAATAAGCACTCAGTAAGATGGAGGACACATGAAAACATAATGCTGGTGTCTGAACTCCCATCAGTGCATTTGCTCACCAGGCTTTGACTACTTTGGGCTAAGGTCTCCTCCCTGTGGTCCAGCTGCATATTCAGAAGTGGGCAGATTTGCCTGTAGGTCCTGTACGGTATCTGACAAGCCCGTCTTGGATAACCTAGACATTCAAGGTTATCTTAGGACAATCTTAAATGTCAGTAGGCACATGTTTAGGCAAGCAAATCAAGGCCTGTGCACCTTCAGGAGGGTGAGCCAGGCTGTTCTCCAGACCAGGCTGTTAATCTTTACTGCCTGCTACAGGCACTTACATTTCCAGCTTGCATGTAGACACGTATACTCAGATACCAACTCCTAGGTGCCCTTATTTCAGACTCAGTCCTAACCTTTAATCCTTGTAGGACTCAGCAATGTGTGTTTGTAATGTAAATGAAGCAGTAGCAAGGCTTTCTACTTAGAAACTAAAGCAAAACAAACAGAAAACAACAAACCAAACTGAAAGAAAACAAAACAACCGAACAACAACAACAAAACCAGCTGTAAGTATGCTGGAATTATTCAAAATTGGGATTCAGTATAACATTTCTCTCAGGTAATATCAGGACAGATTGTCCTCTTTGGAATCTCATGGCCACCTGTGAGTGAAGCTGAGTGGGGAACAGTTGATCTGCTTGCTCAGGTACTATCTGGTCCACTGTCTGATCCCACTATCTACATGAGTAATAATTAAAAGTTGTGTTAAAAATATCTGAAGTGTATATTTATACAGAATTACTGCACTAGTGTTTTAAATAAGTTGCTTACATTTCTCTGACCACAGACATGCACTAGAGGGAGCTAGTACCAAACCCTCCATTGATGTTCCCTGATCTTGTTCAGTTACTCCACAGTTTTTGGAACTTTTTTGGTTCCATCCTGCAAAGCAATGCTGTCAACATCCCAAAACACCCAAGTTCCTTAAGCCTGAAGTAAGGTGAAGCAGCTTCAGCCTCCAGCACCATTCTGGTGGGAATTGCTGGAGCAGTTGTGAACAGGGGAAGAGGAAAAGGGGAAGGGGTTTGTTACTGAGGGCTCTCCTCTCTTGCTGCTCGTGCTTCCAGACTCCTCACATTGCTCTCAAAGCCCACCTGCCTTTCTCTGGAAAACCCAAGCAGGGCAGATGTCCCTGCTTGCTCCCTTCTCATCAGTCCTGGCAGCTACAGTAAGTGGTGGGGTTCCCCTCACAAGATGCCCCCATGCAGTGAGTGGTGACACTGACAGATCTTGTATGAACTGAGTCAGTTTTTTATCAGAACTGATCCAAAAATTCTCCTCCCCTCTGAAGTACACTAAAATAAAATTATTTTGGGTTTAAAATGTATTTTCTGTAATCAGGAAACACAAGAGACTCCCAATTTTTCTGTATATTCTTAGCTGGGTCTCCCTGCATGTATGCATTATGATTTAGCTTTTAACCCTACACAGTCTTCTCTTGTGCCTTATCCACACTCATACTGATCACAAAACACAGAGAGCTGCTGGCCGAAAGTGAATGACTGTGAACGGGTCAACGCAGGCCCGTTTTGCACCCTGTCACTAATGTTATTTTCAGAGAAGAACAATCTGTAGAAGACATGAGACACAGCTCATCTCCTTTCAAAGTACAAACCGACAGCATGTGCTATATAATTTTCTGGACCCTACAGAGTTGTTAGTTCTTTTCAGCTGTCACCTGAGCAACTCCATGGCTTTTGGGATGTTGATGTTTCCTCCCACTGGTGCTTCTAGGACACCTGGATCATCAGACTCAACACAAGGAAGTATAGCAATGTTTCTCCAGGTTCGAATATTAAGCCGAAAGGTATTGAGTGAAATGATTCACCACTGCTGTGACTCTCCTTTCATGCCTGGCATTGTGAGGAGAAGCCACGGGAGCAGAAAAGGAATGGTGTGAAGGCTGCATGTTGATTAAAAAAGTGCAGTAGATACACTGGGAGGAGGAAACTATCCCACAAAGAGGTAAAGAGGCTGCAGTGTGGCACAGACCAGAAAAGGAAATTTTATCTAGATGGGAATAAAGATGTCCTTTTCTGAAATATACAACAGAATTTAAACCCACACAAGGACATGATGACCATGAGCTCAGTCTTAACAGGTGAACTCAAGTTAACTACCCGCTGCTGCTATGTTTCTTGGGATAGAACATCAAGGGTTGGGAACATAAGAGTTACTATATGGCCTCTCTTGGTGTAGTGTGGTCTTCAACCCTTAGGAAGGTGTAAATAAACAGCAAAGGTGGAGCCTTGCCTCTTATAAAGAAGTAACTACTCCTCCTTTCCCTGCTTTCACATTTTTTTAAAGTAGCTTTTAAAGGTTTACAGTGGCTACAACAAAGGCAGGAGTGAGAAGAAGACAGTGATGGCACACACTGCAGAAGCCAATGAGAAAACCTGCTGGGGTGGGACTCATCCCTTCTAACTGTGGTGGTGCAGAGCTTCAGCTGCTCTACTAAACTCCTTCCACAGCCAACAGAAAGAGGCAGGACCCTCCAGGGCAACTTATCTTGCTCCAACAAGGACTTCTAGAAGAGCAGATGAACTGGATGCTGAGCTTCCAAGTGGCTGAAGTCCAAGTGGAAACCCATCCCTGTGTTAAACCATCCTTTAATTTCAGCATGGAATTATATGTATACAGAGAGAGAAAGAGACATGCATGCAACTAAATAAATACAGACGCTTTTACAACTACTGTTATACTTAAAATGCTCTAATCCACCAATGCAAACAAAATCTGCATTGGGAAAGGAGGGGCTCTGTCTGCTGTCCTGCTAGGTCAGAAAATGCATTGGGGCACACCTCAGACTCCCAAGCAGCACAAGTTACTTGTGTGAAAGTATTCCCTGTAAAAAGCCCTCCGACTGCTTACTGCTCTTGCTGTAGGTGCCTATACCTTTGTTCGACCTCGGCCACAGCCAGCACCTCTGGTGCTCAGAGGGTGCAGGAGTCCATGGCTGCCTTCCCACCACCCTTCCTGGGCATCTCCACAGCAGTGCATGGTGACCCCCTCCCCCCAAACTGCCCAATTTTCTCATTTTCTATTCTCAAGTGCCACTTTGGGATCACATCACTGTCCTGGGTACCACCAAGCAGACATTGTGAACCAAGAACCTGTGATCCCATGCACCCACAGGCTCTTTGGCCTACGCAGCCAGAGCATTGGCCTGCTACATTACCACACTGCCTGCTATGTTACCACACCCTAAAAAGTAGGAGGGAAGGATGGTTAAATGCATCATGTGCCCGCTACACCTTCCTCCTCATCCTCCTCGAGTGTTTTCTTCAATAAAACACGCCAGCCCTCAGAAAGGAGCGCACAAAATGACAACCCTCTCTTGATGAAAACGCTAGAAGCACAAACATCACAGTCTTGGTAAACAAGCCTATCAAAAAAATGAAGAGAAAATGGACTAGTTTGTGTTTCTTTCAGAAAGTTGGGTGTATTTCAGAGGTAGTATATTTTTCCTAGTTTATTAAAAATTCTTACAGCAAAATCTGTTTTAAATATCTGCGAGATATTTAACCCATTTTGGGACTTCAAAAAAAAAAAAAAAAAAAAAGAAAAAATAAATAAATCTGCTAGTATAACATTATTAAGCAAAACATTTTCACGAATTTCCCCGTAATTCCTTGGCAGGTGGAGGGAATCATTCAACGGGTGTGCATTTCTGCTAGGTCTGCAGCAGCATGTTGGTCTGGCCAGAAGCAAACAAGGGGAGACATGCTTGGGACACAGCCCTTTTCTTTCTTTTGGCTTCTTGCTCTCTTTGCAGCTTGACCTCTCCAGTCCCGAGGGAAAACGGGGCACCCCAGCTTGTTCATGGAAGTGCCCGAGTGTGGTCACAAAGCCAGGAAAAAGCCAGGGCTGAGCCTCAGTGGAGTGAAGGGAAGAAGCTGCAATAGATACACGTCCCTATGGACCAGGTCCTACTGGAGGAGGGGGAGACCCTAGCAGAATGAAAACTGCCATTAACATAACAAACCGCAGAAGAAAAGGAGAAAGTCTCATCTTGCCTAGTCTGTCTCCGCCAATAATCCTGGGGAATTGCTGAAATAATGTCCTTCCTTAGGGAAATACTCTTTCCAGGTCAAAGATATTCTTTCGAACATAAAGCAGACACAGTCATAAATACCTCGAGGACTGTTTTGATCACTAGCATTTACAGAAAACATTCAGTTTTGTTTCTCTCATTTTTTTTTAGCTGCCTTGTTCTGCTTGTTATTTCAGACAGCTTCCATGCTTACGAATTAGTGACTTCCACACACTGCATGGAGAAGGTTACATTAACACACCTGAATATTTGGAATCTGTGATGGTCTTCATTTGAACTTAAGGAGTTAATAACAGACTATTGTAAGCAGTCCAGTACTATGGTGATTCTAACTTCAGCTGGGTTAATTACACAATAATTAGGTACAAACATCGCAACACAAAACACAGCTACATCATTATTTGCAACAAATGTTAACTCTAAATAAGTGCAACCTGTCCCACAAACACTTGCTATAAACGACTTAAAAATAAAAGTAAAAATTTGATGGGGTAAACACAGAGAAAAAAAAAATTCTCCGGGAGAATTTTTTTTGTTAAAAAAATAAAAGTAAATAAAAATCTCAGCACTCATTTAGAGTTCGGGATCTTGTGAAAGAAAGCTTTAAAAGGAGCAAACCTGATTTGCTGTGGCTGTTGCGGCGAAGGGAACACTTGTTGCAGGAGTTGTTGCTGCAGAGACAGTGGCGGCCGTAGCGTTGTGCATCATGGGTACTTTCAGGAGGGGAACCATGGAAGCAATGAACAGGAGGGTGCAGCATTATGGTAAGAGAAGTGGTATTTTTGGCATGGTGAATATCAAGAGCGGCAAGCCATCGTCATGGGTTAAACCGGCAGATGGCATGCAATCACAGTGCAAAGCGAGAAAGCGTGGCGGAGAAATAAAAAAAAGGGAAAATAGCTTATTACAAGTACAATTAAAGGAAGGTTGTCAACACAATCGGCGATTCCCAGAAAAAAAAAAAAAAAAAAGAGCAAGGAACATTGAAAATGCAGATGTTATCTCAAAGAATGGGATAACTTATGTAATACGTAAGGCCTCTGCCAAAATAGCCTGGTACCTGAGAACTGTCACAGGGACGATTTTTTTTTCTCCCCAGTGTTGCCATAAAGCACTCCAAAATAAAAGTCTGCTAAAAAACGAGAGCGTTTGGAACTGGGAAGGAAAATTGTAACTGTTTATCTTAATTTTTAAACAGAATTAAAACCAAATTATTTTCATGCATCTTCATTTTTAAGTAAGCCAGATACTCGCTGTCTTCCTTTATAATCCAATTTATGCATTTTTTTTTCTACTAGCACTGCAAAACTGCTAGACTTTACCAGAGCTAAATTGCCATCTGCTTTGAGGCAAAAATCAGAAGGATAATAATCATTTTCCTGATTTAAATACTATTTTGATCTAAAAAAGCAAGGTCAATTTTGTGAAAGTTGCTGCTTTTACTCATTTTAAGAACAAATTTTCATCAGCATCTTCATGAGAGAATACTAACTTCATGTTTTAAAGGCTCAATGCTTTAACTGCTTATCTGAGTAGTCCCACAAAAAAAAAAAAATCACTGGGATGGGGCTACAGAATAGAAGGAAGATTACTTTTCCATCTTGAAGTCTGTTGCACTGGACTTCAATTTTGCATGCCCCAAATGTTCATTCCAAATGTATTTCAAGGAAGAGTAAGATTCAGATCATGGGTTTCAACAGACCCTTTGTAGATCAAAGCATGCATTTCTGGGAAACGCTGATAAAACTTTCTAACACACAGCAAAAAGGAGAAATAGGCACACCACTATGAAACTTTAAAACACTGATGAAACTTGCTGGCTTTTCCAGTATTTTATGATTTTATAGTACTAGACAATATAAAATATAAAGAGAAATAAAACTTTGAAAACTGAAAAGCAGACTGGAATTCATGATATTATGCTTTTGCAGTGTAGTTGTTATAGCAGGTGATATCACATCTAAACTGCAGCTTCTTCTACAAATCTAAATACTGCACAAAGTCAACCAGAAGGACAAGTGAACCTTTAATTCTAGTCATTGGCTAAATCTCGCCTAGGATTTTTGAAACAAGTGAATATACATCATATACATTATAAAAGAGATCAATAAAGAAATTTGGAACCTACCAATACTGGTAGCGGGTGTCATGCACAAAACTGACCCTGCGTGTCATGCAATGATAGGTGAAAAAAGTGGATAAAGGGAAGAAACAGGTTAGCTGTTTAGAGTTAACATTCAAAGTGAGATTCAAGCATAACCACAGATAAGTAAGTTAGTTAAATGAAGGATTAAGGTCATTCATAGTTTTGCTTTAACATAAAAATGTGATTATGTTCATATTAAATTCCTACTTGGGTATATTGTATGACTTTTGGCATGTTTCTGTGTGCACACAAGATACTTCATAAGCTCTTTCCTTCAGTACTTTTACCCTTTCATTTAGTACTACTGCAGCAACTGGTTTTTTGTTTACAGAAACATCTATGATTAAATATCACATTATTTGGCAATTTTAGAACTCACTGCATAATTCAGTGAGCTTAGTGCTGCACAGATTCATCAACTTTTTCTGCAGCAGAGGAAAAAGTTAAAATGGAAGTACCCAATATCGCTCTGCAGAAGCTTTGTCTAATTTATGTTTTATGTTGACATACGTGTTCTTAATGCAAGGCTTGGAGCAGAGAGGTGTTTCTGACCAGCGAAAACACTACTGGGACAGTTCCCAAGCTAAGCATGTGTAAGTGTGTATGTACCCTTGCAGCAAAAGGTTCCATAGGCTTTGGTGCTGAGTCCACCTTTAGCCTTTCTAAAAAGACCAAATGAAAAGAAAAATAAAAAATCAATCAAACAAACAAACAAAAAACAACAACGTGTTTTCAGTACAGGGCATATAGCAAGCTGGTGAAGGTGAGGAGGCAAGGAGACTACCGCCACGTACACACATATTTGATATAAAATCAAATATGCTTCCTGTGTTCCTGTTTAATTATTACAGCAGCCTCTTCCCCGCCCATCACAGCAGCAGCAGCATAACTATGAATGACCTTACCGAAGAACAACCCCCAGAGAACACACACAGTTCCTAGTCTAGCGGCCATAAAAACGCTAACGAACAGCGATGGGAGGAGAGAGAGGATCTGTTGGTTTTGAGATCATTCACCAGACAAGAAGGAGAGGCGATGAAGCAATCAAACTGATGTAAAACATGGGAAATGCAAAAATTTGGAGGTAAGCCATGCTCAGTGAAGCCCCACACGTTTTATTAGGGGAGCAAGTGGTTAAGAAAGCAGAGAGGTTATATAAAACAATTACGTTTTATATATATTCCAGCAGCAAAACTTGTCTTAAAAGTTAACTTTTTTTAACACACACGAACACACACACACAAGGAACACATTTGAAAATTATACCAGTTCAGAAAATATCACATCATCATTTAAAACCCAACAGATAACGTCATGCATTGCTCCTTAGGGCCAGGTGACATGACAGGCCTCGCACCCACCAAATCCAACTTTCTCTTGGACTTCCCAGGAAACATGGGAATATTGGATAAAGCGTCTTTAACAAAAAGCATGTTGCACCCACTCATATAGAGCGGGTTCCCTCTTTCTAGCTTCCTCCTACACCTCTCTCCTCTCTCTAATGCCCTGATGGTGTTCACAAAAAGCAGGAGGTTCAACATCTTGTGAAAGGCTTTCCACTCCGGGCCTGGGCTCCGTCTGCTTTGTTATCCCTCCCTCTTCCTTTTTGAGCTCTTGTTTTGGGCTTGTCAATAATCCGGCCCTTAAGGTTTGGTTCCAAGATCCACCCTTTCTACCATGAGAAATTTATAAGGTACTACTGTCATTACAGCCATTAGCCAGAAAGAGGGATGGACAATAAATGGCACAAAGAATGAGCTACTTAAAGAAGCACGAGCACTCAAAAAATATGGAAAATATCCAAACGCTATTTCACTGAAAAAAAAAGTTTTAACTACTTTATTTTGCATAGTTAATTTAAGTTCTATGGCAGTTCCTTACAACAGTGATAAGCCCTGAAAGGGAGCGCTTAAGAGCAGGAGTAATGCATATCAGTACAAATTGTTAGGGTTATGATATACAATAAATTTCTACATCGTTAAGCACAGGGCAGTCTTCCATTCATGTCCAAATAGGCAGTCTCACCATTTTTTTTAAATACTCCCATAAATGTCTGCATGTTTTCTGCCACAGATATTCTGGTGTACGAGTGTGCTAAAAATACAGCATTCTATAACTTGCTATTATCAACACAGGGGCAGGCTCCAAGGTTGTTACTCAGGCCTTATAGCAAAATCTCATGAAGTCAATGCCATCTGTGTTTGTTTTCATCTTCAGAGACATACGGGGATGCTGATAGATTGGGCAATCCTTGCGTGTTGTGTTTCATTCCCTGTTTAAACCAGTGTTATTCCTATAAACTAAAATAATATTGCTGAAATGTTAAGTGCGTTTGCAAACACGTTGTTATAAAGGGTTCTGACTGCTCTCCATGATCACGTTCTGATACCAGAACATGCTATTTGTCAACCGCAGACCACATCACATTGGTCCTTAGAGAGGATGTTCAGCTGCAGAAAGTTCGGAGTAGGGGCAACTGACATAATTTAGGGGATTCTGGTGTCACTGTTTATGCAAATACCAAGTGCATTCATTCCTTCGTGGTGTTGAGGAGGAGCCCCAGCACCAGCACCATGGTGCAGCTCAAGCCTCTGGACCTCACAGGCTTCTGCGCACTGACATGCAAAGCGCATCCTCTCACCTTTGGCTCACCCGGACGAAGAACTACAACCTCAGCTATTAGCTGCAAATGCTAGGAAAAGTACTGGTAGCGTGACAAAAGGAAAGCCAAGAGAACAAACCTGATGCCTCCAAGCCCCTTTAGTGCCGAGGCGGGGAGCAATTTGTTTTGAGGATGCTCCTGTGCGGGTATGAGCAGAAGGCTCGTGCTGGGGCACCCGTTCTCAACCTGCTGCAGAGCAGCAACGGACGGGCCATGGAGGGACACCCGTGGCATCTTCAAAGCCCTATGCTTTTCCCAGCATTTTCCCAGCAGTGTTTTGCCCTCTCGTTCCCTGGGAAAGCTCTAGCAGGTGAAGTCAAAATACAGCCAAATCGATGTAGGAAAAAAGGGCGAACTGTGGGCGATGATGAAGGAGGCTATGAAAATGGAAAGCAGCCTAACGGCGTGCCGGGATTTCAGCTTGAACCCTCACACTTTGCAGAAGGAATTAAACCAGCGTGGAAATAACTATGCAGGCCTCATCTCAAGCAGGGCGGGGAGCATAATAAAACCTTTCCTTAAGCGCAACTGGCTGAGGTAGAGGCTACCCTACACAACCTGGGGTCAGTGCGGGTGCAACATACCTGTCGGGATAAACGCTGCATGTTGCTGCAACTGAGCATTGGCAAGAGCCTGTTGGTAGTGCAAGACACTGGGATTGAAAACGGCACTGGCACCATTGCTTTTTTCAAGTGCTTGTCTCTTTGGTAAAGGGTGAAGAACACCGGGAGGAAAGGCCTGTAAATAAGAAAGTTAGTTAAAACAGTGTAATTCCCAAGGCGTTGTCTGCAACATATACAAAAGTACAAAAACTTATTATTTTTAAAGCGGCTAAAGATGCCTTGCCATGCATATTAACTCAAAGCACAGCAATGTAAAATGAGTGAAATTTTGTTATTGATAGCAAAAGCGTGGTACTATTAACCTAAAACTGTAGCAGCACAACTACTGAAAAGAAAGGCCTTTAAAGCAACGAAAATGGCATTTCCTTTAAATAGGCTTTCAAATATTATAGGGAGAAAAAACCACTTGTGTTTCATTGCCAAGTATGTTCTTTTAATTTAAGTATTGTTTCCTATTATTATATAGATTAATGGATTATGTTAAGCGTTTTCAATTACAAAAGCAGTTTTATCTCAATTCGACTTTTTATGAGGAGGTATTTAAAAATGAAACCATGTTAGGAACCAAACGAAATCGTTCTGCGTTTATTACGTATGAGAATGAGATGGATAAATACGGTACCGAGTTGCCGGTAAATTAAGAGTATGTGAAATCATTTCCGGTTGATGTTCAAAAGAAAGCGGTACGAATTTCATTAGTTGCTTCTCCGAAAAAAAAAAATATATATAAATAAATAAAAAAAGCTACATGCAAAGCAAAAGGTGAAAGGTCAAAGTACCAGGTCTACAGTTGCTTCGAGAGGTCGCTTCATTGCTTTGGCAGTCGACTGAGTCTTTTAATAACAGGCAGCGAGCACATGATGGCAGTGGGCCAATGGGAGTCAAGCGAATTAACATACAGGTAAACAGCAAGCAGAGGTGCGTCATGGGAACGGCATTGCATTGTGGATAGGTGAGAAGGAAAAAAATATTCTGAATGCAATATACAACATACAAAAAACACTAGGCATGCACAACAACAAAAATGTCTTCTAAAGAAATGAATATTACACTTTCGAATTAGTACTGAAGCAAAAACGCATCTACTATACCTTAGTTAAAAGCATATAAGAGAGTAAAATATAGATGTTTGAAATTCAGGAAAGTTGAGTAAAACAGCAGCTTGCAGACACTATTAAGCATTTTATAAACACTTCACAGAGATGCAGAGAGTTTTAAGGATACTCCTACAAGAATTTCTGATAAGTTAGTTGAGTCAAATTTGCCAACAAAATCAATTTCGAACGCTGGATTTTCAAATCCAAAGCACTAGGGAAAGTTGTAATGCAGTTACAAACGCTACCAATGCTTGAGTTTGCAAGGTGAAGGTCTTAGGTAATAAAACCACGAAATTCAATAAGTTTGGGATTCAAAACGAGAGGTTGCCCTCTTCCAATACAGACTACACAATATGTCTTACACTAACTTATCATTAATTCCTTTTTTTTTTCCCTACAAGTGGGTCATTGTTGTAGATTTTTTTTTTCCTTGTGACTTACCACATTACATTGAGAGGAAAAAAACAGCCTTTCAGAATTTAAGCATATTTTCTAAATTTCACTACAACCTTCAGTACCAGCTTGGGGAGCAGGGAGTGAAAACACTGCTCCCAGCTTAAAAGTGAACATTAAAGTATGATTTACAATACTAGTTCAACATTATTATTTTTTTTTTAAAGAAAATATGTAGGCATAGTACATAGACATATAAATTTATGTATATTTTCATTGTAAGATTAAACCTATGGCTGATACGATGACATTCTTTGAAGTTTTTTCATAGAAAATATTACTTCTGAGTTTTGTAGTGCAAATAATGTTTACAAACCTTCAGAAAGAAAGGACAATTTACTTATAAATCAGATTTTTTCTTTTTTTTTTACAGGCACATGCTGATATTTAGCTTTTTTTAGGATACGCCAATTATGTCCATCTTGACATCAGTATGTGGAAATGTGGAACAAAAGTATAAAAAAGAGGACAAGGCACAAAACACCTACAAATAGCTTATGGTCATGGTATTAGCTAGTGCCAACAGGTTATTTTGCAGGATAGCCCTTGCTTTCCTCATTCACAGCTCTGTTGCAGCTACGTTGCACAAAGCTTTCCTTGGCTCCCTCCTCCTCTCCTGCAGCACATTTCTGGATTTTATATACCTAATCTACAGGATCTGCTCATCTGTCTGGGTCAAGACCTGGATATAACAAGAAACACCTGATGCCAAGTGAGGATGTGGATAGCCTTCTTGCATCTAAGCATGGTGCTGTGCAGCTGACATGTGGTACCCACCACGGGGGACATCGCTCCGGTAAGCTAACACAGCCTCAGACCCACTCTGCATCCACTACTGATGGAAGTCTACCTGGAGGTGAAGTATCACAACTGAATTTAGCATTATGTGATGGTGAAGCCCATAAATTCAAACCAACATCAGTAAGAGTAGAGCATTTCAGTTAATTACCTACAGGTATTATCTCGGTTATTTTCTTACTATCTCTGTATTTCTGATTGCCTTTCTCCACCTTTCTTCCATGCTCTTCTGCCCCTTATCTCCCTACTTTGAAAAATTTTGCTGGCTTTCATCTCATCTTCCATACCAAGTTCAACCCGAAAGCTTTAAATTGATCACTGTATAGACCTTCAACCTTGTTTCCATGTGGTCTTCCCCTCTTTTCAAGCTTTTAGACTGCCTATCCACTCCTCCCTCCTACCTTTATGTTTCATTTTGTCCCGATGGTAAAAGCTTCTTTTGATTCTTTCTGTTCCATCAGCTAAACTCCTCAACATTTAAGCTCCTACATAACTAACAACCAAAAAATAAACAGTTACAGACTAGATAGGAAAATGCTATGGAAAGCAAATAAAGATAATAATAAAAATTGTCAAACAATCTGAGGCACAATATTTTTCTGCCGTATGCCACATCTGTATGCTATAATGCATCCTGGAATATGAGCAAGATACACACGACTGCATGGATGAGCAAGGAGCTCCTGACTAAACTTAAACGTAAAGAAGAGAAGCACACAAGAAGCGAAGAGATGACCTATAGGGGCATGGCCTCAGCATCCTTGGTGGAAGAGGATCAGGTTAGGGAACATTTAAACAAACTGGATGTTTACAGGACCTCATAAGATGCATCAGTGGGTGCTGAAGGAGCTGGGCAATGTCATACAATGAGAGGCCATTCCTAATAATCTTTGCAAGGTCGTTATGACTGAGGCAAGTTCTGAAAACTGAAAGAAAGTAAATGACACCCCTATCTTCAAAAAGGGAAAGAAGGGAACGACAGGTCAGTCAGCCTTACCTTGATGTCTGGGAAGGTGATGAAGCAAATCCTCCCGAAAACCATCTCCAGACACAGGAGAGCCAAGAAATTGATGGGGACTAGCCAGCACAGATTTATGGAGTGGAAACTGTGCTTAACCAACCTGATAGCCTTCTACGAGACTGGCTTGGTAGATGAGGGGAGAGCAATCAATGTTGTTTCTCTTGACTTCAGGAAGGTTTTCTACGCTGTCTCCCATTTCACTTTCACAAACTCATTTAGTACAGGCTAAATAAGTGGAAAGGGTGAGGTGGATTGAAAATTGTCTCAACTGCCAGGATCAAAGAGTTGTGATCAGCAACATAAAGTCCAGCTTGAGTCCAGTCAACAGTGGTATAAAACTGGGAGGAGTGATTTATATATCAGACAGCTGTGTTGCCATTCAGAGGGACCTCGACAGGTTGGAGAAATGGGCATGGAGGAAGCTCATGTTCAATAAAGGGAAATAACACATCAGGCACCTGGGGAGGCATAGCCACAGCCAGCAGTATGTGCTGGGGGCCACCCAGCTGGAAAGCAACTTAACAGAAAAGGTCTCTGGGATCCTGGTGGACACCAAGATGAACATGAGTCTGCACTGTGCCTTCGCAGCAAAGGCAGCCAACAGCATCCTGGGCTGCTGTGTCCTGGGATGCACTGGGAAGAGCATCACGATCAGGTTGAAGGAGGTTATCCTTCCCCTCTACCCACCTCTGGTGAGGCCGCATATGCCTTGCTATGTCCAGGTCTGAGCTCCCAGTGCAAGAAAGAAATGGACATACTAGAAATAGTCCCATAGAGAGCCACAAAGGCACTGGAAGGAATGAAGCATCTCTCATATGAAGAAAGGTTGAGAGACCTTAGATTGTTCAGTCTGGAGAAGAAAAGATGCAGGGGGATTTCAACAGTGTGTATAATAAAACAGGGGAGTAAAGATGGAGCCAGGCTCCTTTCAGTGGTGCCCAGTGACAAGAGAAGATGCAATGAGAACCAACTGAAATACAGGAGATTTTATTTAAATATATTTAAATTATTTAATTATTTAAATATAACTTAAACAAATTACTGTAAGCACGATTTAATCATGCAGTATGTTGCCAAAAGAAGTTTTGGAGTCTCCAACCTTGGAGACATTCAAAAGCCAACTAGGCATGATCCTGGGCAGTCTGCTCTAGCTCATCCTATTAGAGCAGGGAGGGTGGACTAGACAGTCTCCACAGGTCCCTTCCAACCCCAGCTATCAATTCACATTTTAATTTAGGCTGTACATTATTCTGTGACTTTCCATGCTCTCTGATGCTCCACATGAATACCTGCAGCTCCCTGAGTATAATGATGGATGACTATCTTCTAATGAGCTTCGGATTTACGCTGCATGTGGTTTATAGCCTCTGTCACAGTGTCTTTCTCCTTTCTTTTTAGTTCATATTATGAGGGTCACCTAAGACATCCGAGAAAAATTTCCTTAACTTTAGTGTACAGAAGTACAGGCAGGGTATTTTCTGGTACCAGACTGCAAACTTCATTGACCTTCAATGTTCTTACAAGTTCTGCCTCCAGTGCTGTAACCCCATCCACAAAGCTCACCTACAAGAATACCCTCTGGACCAGAGCAATGCAGACAATTCCCCCAGGAAGGAAAACCTCTTAGACACAGCTCATCCTGGGAGCAACCTCCAAGTGAGTCCTATAGTTAAACATTCATATTTCTGCCTTATTTTTTTTCTCTCTAGATCCAATTAAGTATTCTTGTTCATTCTTGGGTAGCCTTGGAGGCATGTCTTTTCTACCACTTTTTTTGTTGTCAATCTGGTGATTTTTCATTCACTGTATCTGATTGTTTCAAGTCTACATTAAATAAATAAAAAAAAACAACAACAGTTGGATTGAAAAGAGTCTTTTCTGTTTGATAGTCTACATATTCCATGAAAATATTCTGTATATATTTTTCTGCAAAAAGTTACCCTGAGTTACAGGTCCCAGTCTTCTTCCTCCATGACATTAGAATGCTAATATTTCAGTTCTGTCTTTCCAAAGATGCTTCATCTTGCTTTGAGGCTGATGCAACTCCAATTATGGCTTATTTAAAATCACAGGATATCTATCCAACGATTACTGAAGCGCAAAAAAAATGAATCCCCTCATCTCTCTCCTTTCTTCTTTAGTATTCTGTCTAGAAATATTACATTCTCTAAATGGTCAATAAATATTGCACAATAGAAGCTAATTAGAATAAAAATACAATCTCCTCTGCTTTAATTTCCAGATGGTATTCAATTTCCGCAAGCACAGGAAAGTTTAACTAAAAATCATCATGTGTAAAACAGTCACTGGGAAACTATATGAGAAAGAATTTACAACTTAAAATTTTTCTTCTGTTTGTAGGTTTACTTTCTTGCATAACTTATCCTTTGTTCCTCAGAAAGTCTGGTCTTTGCTCATTTGCTAAATACAATAGCTTGGGGTAGTTATATACTGTACTGTATTGTGTTTCTGGTAGGCTCCTTACCCAGAGAATAACTGTATTGTCTGTTACTATTGTATGCACTGCCCACAAGTCCACAAACCACATCTGCTTAATTATTCCTCCAGTGCCAGCAATGAGGACAACGATTCTTTGATTTACTGCCAGCAATTTTGTCTCCCAAGACAAATCCCGCATGCTCGATTTATTTAACTTTATCAATACCACTTTACTTAAATTTAACAACTTTCCTGGTAGCAACCATAAGAGATAACCAATACTGGTAAAAGGATGGGCTGACTTGTCTGAACAGCTTTCAGTAAGAGCTTAAAATTTCTGAAAATAGTCCTCAGTCTCTTTTTTTTTTTTTTTCTGACTACACTCACTCTGCTTTTTCTGAACTATTTCTGAACTATTCTTCTATTTCTGAACTATTTCCATTTTAGTTACCTGATTTTTAACACCATTATTCTAATAGAAAATAGAAAGGCATCATGGAGAGATTCAAGTAACTTGCCTTGTCAGTGGGAGAGGTAAGAAAGGTCTCTTAGCATGAGACTCATCTCCCCTAACCAAAGTTCAAAAAGATGTAGTCAACACTTCTTAGGCAGTGGGGAAAGATCTACAGAGGACAATTCTTCCTCGTCCTTCAGTGATGAATAAATGAACAGCATGGATGAATATGCAGGTTTTTCTCCACCGCCTCTGAGGTGCAACCAAGGTGTCTGGGTTAGGCTCAGGTATCTAACTGAATGACATCTTAATGCAGGTCTCTCTTCTACTACCAACCTCTGAAGCAAAAAAACGTCTCTTTGCTTTTCTTCCTTTTCTTCCAAATTTCCACATCTATATATTTCAGAGTTTTCAGAGCTAAACCAGCATATCCATGCCTGTTTTCCAATGGACATTGAACGATTTTATTTCTGTTTGGAAATACGAGGGGCAAATTTAACATATAATCAAGGCAGAGAACAGAAGTGGTATAGAGTGTCATTTGCTTCACTGTCTTGAATAGAAATACAGCATTCAAATACGGGAATGAAGAAAAAGAGCGCTTCCTCCCATCAAGCAATACTAGCAATTTTATCAATTCTTATCTTTTTACCAAAAAAAAAAAAAAAAAAAGCAAAAGGGAAAAAGAAAGTATAAGCAAACAGCATTAAATTGAAGCAAAATAGGCATCAAAGAGCTTCTGTCAAGAAAAGCAGCCATATATGCCAGCACTTACCATCACAGTCGCAGCTGCCGCAGCTGCCTGGGCTGCCACCGCAGCCTGGTTGGCTTGGTGTTGCGCCGCTTTGATTTTGGCCTGCAAATGTGCAGGAGGGTGAAAATACTTGCATTTCTCCCTCATGCAACGACCTTTTATGTAATCCATACACACGGTTACGGTGTTGTCGTTTGTGTCAATCATTGTGCTGTCTGCCGGATGTGCAAAGCGGCAATCAGTCTCTCCACGCGCACAGTTGCCCCGCTGGAACTCCCTGCACACCTACGTGCAAAACAACACTGGTTGCAACCCGAAACGGCAGGGAGAGCCCATGTCCCCCCAGAAAGGACCATCCCCTTCCCCGGTGAGATCACTGAATCCGATTTAATAAACCCATTATGTTCTTCTGGGAGAGGGAAATGCGTCTATTTTACCCTTGCGCATTGGGCACCTCAGGTAGCTTTGTGGTATGGTGGCTAAATGGACATGGAACAGAAACATTCCCAAATGTCTCTTCTTTTCCTGCTTAGAAAACAGCTGGGAAGGATTCTTACTGAAGAAACTGCCCCTGCTAAACTAGCTGAGACTCACAAAATGTTCAGTCCCTTTCTAACTGTAGTTTATATTCTTGCAACTCCACTGCTATGGATGCAGTTCCTCTTGCTGATACATGAGGTAGAGAGTCTACAAACAAAGTGGACAGCCTCCTTAAAAATAATTAAATTAACAGAATGGACAAGCTGATTTTTCTAAGGAGAATATAATATAATAATAATATAATATAATATAATAATGTAATAATAATATAATAATATAATAATACTGCAGTGACAATGTGCTTGCTAGGTATTTCACCAAAGCATACCTTTACGGGCATGCAAACTTGAGGTTTATTTGAAGAGATGAAGTTTAAGAAAGATGAATCTTCATGTTGATTTCTGTGTATTAAATTTGAGCAAATGCACTACCTTATAAATGTATTTAATTACCACTGGCTGCAAGTGTAGGAAATCTGTCCAGTTATGATGTCTACACTTCGAGCAACTATATTTCAGCATAGTTCCTAAAATAATGCTTTTTCTCCTCCACAATCTTCCCTATAGCCTGACAGAGAATCGCATTTCTAGTCATGGTGGTGCCCACAATACCTCCAGTTTATCAGTCCTGAGGAGTTTCTGAGTAGCAGTTGAACCAGGGACTGAAACCGGTGGACTTCCAGGAACAATGACAGGCGGCGTGGGTAGGATCTCGGTCGGGACTAAGCCAACTCCCGGTGTTACTGGCGTTAGGTAAGGAGCAAAGCTAATAGCCGTGTTCGTTCCTATTGTGGGACCCACTGGAAATGTGGGCTGCAAAATGAAAACACAGACCAAGATGAAAAAACCCTTAATCAAGAGCTTATTAGTTGTCTTTTGCATGTTCTCCCTGGCGCCGATTCATTTTCTTAATCAAAGAATTTCAAGCAGCTGGCAAAACACACAGCATATTCTCTTCTTTTAATCACGTAACACATTCCAGCTGCATACTAGGAACTGCACATTGTAGCTCTGCTATTGGAAAAGAGGCTGCCACTGCAAAGGAAGTCCCACTGTGAACCCGAATCTCTATGGAGGTCCAGCTTATATTGCAGGCTTATTTACACATCAAAAAATTGAAATAACAGAACTTTATTGCTTTTTCTCAATACCTGCTTTCCTTTGGAAAACAGGCTATTCTTTCAAAGTACCAGATTTCACAGGTGGGGCATTATTACCTATATTAAATCCATATTTCTAGTAAGACTACAAATAATGAACTCTTTGGCATGTAACTTCCATCTCTTTGCATGCTATATTCAGCCAGCTCCTGCAATTGGAGGAGTTGCTATGGCTCACACATCAAAAAGTCTCACCTTTGCAAATGTTTGTGTGCTCAGCTGTCACCAGTGGCAAGCAGAATAAATATTATAATCTCAGCTGGACACAATATTTCGAAAGCGATTACTCAGCCTTAGCTTGAGTTCATCTTACAAAAAAAAAAAAAGGTTGATTGGAAGGAAAGATAAGGGTCTAAAAATCTGTTTCTTGCCTCCTTAGAGCAAGTCAGTGAAGTCACGACCAGAAGAAAGAGCACTTGTGTAACTCTAAAACCCAGCTCTACCAAGGCAGAATAGTGGGTTTGTCACCACCAGCTCCAAGGGGGGTAGAAGCAGAATATCGCCATGGTCAGACCACGGTCATGACTGGAAAGTGATTTAGCTCTGCAGAGCAGATGTTTACTCCAGAGAGAGAAGCTATAATGGAGCTATAATGGTAAATAATTATGATTATAAATGCAAAACTCTGCAGAAACAGTACAAATCTGACATTAGCTTTGTCACAAATTAAGTCCCTGAGTAAGCTGGCAGCTAGAAATGAACCATGGAATAGCTGAACACTAGAGATGGACTTAGGAAGACTTAAAAACACTTAATGAAAGAGGAAAGTCTTTCTCATCAAGATGGCCTGCATACCCTTGGTTCCAGAAGGGAAGCCAACACACAAATTATACAGAAAATATGCAAGAGAAAGCACACAAGCTAGAAGGTTTACTTCTAGTTTTTGTTTGTTTGTTTGTTGTTTTTTTACTAAATTATAACTGAGTTTCAGTTAGTACCAAGAAGATGCTGAGAGCAGCACATTAGCCAAGATAGCCAACTGTACGGAAATGTCATCTATTTGCCCTAGAGCGTTAGAAGTGAATAATGCTCTGTTTTTATCAGAGATCAAAACTGCTCGATATCAAATAGCATGGTTTATATGCCAAGTGTGAGCTAAATTATTTCAAGCATAATAATGAAGATTTATATGAAACAATGGTTCAACTATTTTAGGGACAGTATGTGTTATGTAAAATATAAATACCATCTTTGTATCAGATACAATTTTAAGAATAAATCTACACGTCAAATGACTTCTATGGAATTTTCTTCTACATTTTATCCATTTGGTCAAGGCTGAGTCATCTTAATCAGGCAATTTATGCATGACAGAGAAATAAAACTCTCCACTTTTATCACAGCCATCAGCACAGAAGGCATTACTTCAATGAAATTGTAAAGTTCAAATGATAAAATGAGTGAGTAGTAAAAAGCGTGATTTTGCCATTTCCAATTTTTATTCATAATACCAAGAAGTGGAATCATTTTATTATTCCATGAAAACTTTTTTGGATGAAAACTTAAGCAGTAGAAAATCAGGAAATACCAAAACACGATGTGACAATGTATCAAGATACATCTTCCATATGTACTGAAAGCTGATAAACATGTACCTGAAACTCAGGGACTTCTGACACCCATTTTTTAATCATGCCTTCCACCTTACGGCAGATGTTTCAAGTGTAAAACCAGGCATCTGGGGGCAGTTAATGTAGCCAAATACAGATGTCCTAACCTGAGATGCTTATACTTATCTCCTTCGACAGTTCATGGAAAGACAAAGGCACTTAAAAGAAACCAAACCATATAATCTGAATGCAGATTTCTGAAACAAGCTAGGTGAATGGTAATTAGAAGTGCCTATTTCTTTTGATAAACTATCAAAGGATTTAGGAAGCCCAGCATAAAATTTGATGCCAATGCTGTATACGCCTCAAGTTAGAGAAAGAAATCTCACTCCAGTGCCTTACAGTGGGCATTCGAATTGAGAAAATATCATATGTGAAAAGTGTTGTTCAGATTACGTGTCTCTGGAAGTCTGGTGCAATGAAGAGCTGAACTGCAAAGGCAGTCCACAGCAACTGATATTTTCATGTACAGCCCAAAGTTGCTGCAGGACACTATTTTTATGTCACCTACTGGATTTGAAGTGTTCCAGGTACCATGTGAATTACCTTAAAATAAATCACAGAGTTTGTAGGTGGACATATCATCAGTTCTTATTCTGGGACACTTCAGATCAGAAGAGAGAGAGAAATCATTACCCTGAATGACATTACCCTTTTTTCCAGGTATTGGGATTAGATACTGCTTGAAGCCACTCAAATTCACAGGCTTCTGAGAGGGGAACTTTGCAATCCTACTCAAATAACTTACTAACAAATTATTGTTATACAACTTTACACCTCCAGAGATATTATAGGTAAAATCCTTGAAAATCTAGACAAAACCTAACAGGAACTGAATGAAGGGAAGAAAAAAAAAAAAAAAAGGTAGAAAAAAAGCAAGTGAGTCTAGGATAAAAAAGGTATCAAATCTCCAGCAACACTCCTTCATCTCTTCAAATGCAAATATAAATGAAAATATTTCTAGCATCTCAGCAGTTCCCTAAATCAACAGATGGTGATTATTTTTATTGGTACCACTTTAGAGAGCTTTTGTGGGTCAATATATTCTTCTACCTTAACTTACTTACCGATAACACCACCAGAGAAATAAACTTACCACTGGCTGTAGTGGTGTTCCTGGAAACATAAACTGCATTTGCTGGGCAAGCATTGCTGCTGCAGTTTTTTGTTGGATTAAGTTGTTCCTGCCATTGATTTCCAGTTGAGTTTTTAAATGTGTTGGTGGATGAAGGTACTTGCAGTTCTCCCTCGTACAACGACCCTGGAAAAAGAAGTCACACTAATTGGTCTATTGCTTTTGATGATAGCTTAATGCCCCGCAGCACAATATTACACCACAAGCTAAGCGAGCAGTAATGAAATGCAGGGTGTTTCCTGGGAACCGTGTAGCAGGCTGGGAGGAGCTGATGGCCTTGAGCTCTGCCTCAGCCCACTACCTCTGACTGGTTGTTAAGGGTATTAGCCACGGACAAGGAGAAAGGCTTTGAAAATTGTTGATGGCACTTTCATTGTTAAGTACAGATCACTGCCGTACAATTAATAGGCTGAGTATTATCGAGGCTGCCTGAATTGCCTCTCATGGTATCTTGGCTTGGGTACCCAGTGTAACCATACCATAAATGTTTTTATGAATTACATTACATTATGAATGATAAATGTAAGCCTCCTTTAAGAGAAATATTTCTTGTAAGTACATTATATTAAAAAATAACCGTGTGGCAACTCTCTGCTTGTGTTCTCTTGTACGTTCATGCTTATTTCAGTCCACTGCCTTCTGGCCTCCTGTTTTTATTACATCATATAAAACTTTGCCTCCTGTTTTTATTGCATCGGGTAAAACTTTGAACTCTTTCCATTCAGGTATAAAATAACAGAATTCGTGTCGGTATTTTTGGAGCCTAAATTCAGTAGAAGTGCATGGGGCTAAATCTGAAGGTGCACAGCAAAAGGAGACAGCCTGAAGACAGGGGTTTTAGATAGCTATGAGATAGTACAGACACCAGAAGCTGGATTATTTTGGAAAGTTGATGGTGGTGGGCAGCCATCCTTGAGGTGATTTGTGTTGGAGGTAATGGGCGTGGAGCACACCTCTACAACAACTGACTACATGTTGGCCAAAAGGTCGGCAGAGCAGCGTAAGAAGTAGACGCATTTTCCCCCAGAAAAGGAAACTGTAGGGTGCACTAGCAGGTCGTGTATCTGCCTCTGCAGCCGCAGGGCTGGACTTGGTGAGATGGGCTCTTTGACAACATGGCTCATAAATTGTCACGAAGCTTTGAGAGCTGTGACCGGAGGACCTAGGGCATTAGTCAAACTCGAAGTGACACACTCAACTTGCAGAAACAAGTTTCCAAATTGAGACCTTTTTTAGAAGTGCTTCTTAAACTTTCCGTTCTCTGGTATGAGCACTTTGTAATGCTCTGCCAGACAGGAATACCCTCCTATAGCCTCGAGAACATTAAGATCCCTGTGAGGGAACATCACACAGCACACACGTACTCGGATGCCGCGTATGTGTACACGCACACACACTTTTTCCTCCAAAACCCTCTGTATGCTTTGGATGTCCCAGAATGGCAGTATTAATGTCACACTTTTTACTCACACACTGAAATGCTCCTGGTTCCAGCTCTAATCTGCGATAAGGACTTAATAGCTACCTGTGCAGGAGAACATTAAACACTTCTAGGAGTGCTCTCCAGCACCGAGGCCAAGGGGAATGCAGACAGCTATTTCCACGCCATTAAACCACGGAGAACAGCCCTTAGCTGCTGCTAGCACCTGAACAGCCCCTGGATACTGTGACTGTACTGAATGGCAGAGGCCAGAAGGAGTTCAGGAAAGCTAAAAATTTCAGTCTATAGACAGCTACGCCTCAGTGCCCAGGAACATTACTTGGTGCTCTTTAGATGTGCTGGTATAGGTGCAGCCATTTTCGGCTCTTCCTCCTTATTTCCACGAGTCACTAATTCTGAGGGTTTTAATTATGCACCCAAAAGGAAAGTCACTTTGTCAGCTGGCATAAGGAGAACCAGAAGTCGTCACGATTCGCCTTGGACAAAGCAAGAGGCAGGCTCTGCCATTCATGGGGTAATAAGGCCGTCGCCTTTACAATGTTAAATGGGAACATGCTTACCCGTGAGCGCGGCAACGAGCGTGTGCTTTTATGTTGGCTGATGAGGATTTCCTGATTAAGACATTTTTAACTGAGACCTATTTAACCTTAATCTAATTTGTATGTAACCTTAATCTAATTTGTATGTAAATGGTTCATACAGCAAATGTGAAAACGAAAACAGCAAAATAAAATCACGTAAATCTGTCTGATGGAAATATCTACCAATGCAAATGAAAGTGATCCTCAATTAGGGAGTAACTTTCAACTGCCATGGCTTTTGAAGTACCTCAACTTTGAAGTAAGCCTACAGTGAGCACTCCACCACCACCTCCCAAAGCACATGGCTAGCATACACCATCGCTTCAAGCTCTGCAAAGCAACCCACAGAGCACAAAAGACTGGTTATTTCAGAAAATTTTCCAAAATAATCCAAGCACATAAAAATTTACTCCATTCTCTGAAGCTATTCATGTTTGTGCTTCATTGACTAGTTTTTTCGAGCTCTTGGTTAGCAATGAACTTGTGTAGCCCCGTCACGCTGCTATAGACGCACTGTAAACAGATCAAGCCTTGTTAAAATGAAATGACCCAAAATAAATGGCAATGGAATGAGCACTGAAAATAGTGAGCAGATGAATCCCGTCCTAGCTACCAAAACAAAATAAATTCTGAGACCCAGTTTCACTTTTTGGACCTTCAGTGGTTGGGGGAAAATGCCTGGAAGCGACTTTTCATTTCTTTGGCGAGAAATGCTCCGTGCCCCTATGAACTGCTGATGGGAACAGTTTCAGAGCAGAACTGGGCTGATTCCCAACAACTGATCAATGCAAGAATGAAAATTCGAACTTGTGGTATCACCTCAGTCAAATGTGACCCTGGATTTTTTGTTTATTGAAATGTCAAAACCAAAGTCCAACTGAGACGATAGCAACACACCAACCCAACAGCAGAACAAAGCACTGTGCACGAAGTGCTGGAGTGCTACAATAAAGGCCTACTTTGGATTCTTGTAGAAAAATTACTGCGGTAGCAGGCCACCTCAAAACAAATACAGAGGCAAAACCAAGTGGTTTGAGTTTAGGGTGCGTGAATATCAAGCCTCTGGAGTGAGGCTTGGTCCATCGCAGTAGCTCAGGAGCTGCTCCACAGACTGCCTGGTGCACAGCAGCACTAACTGCGTGTGAAGGATGAGGCAGGCAGGCAGCAGGGAAAATCATTGCTTCATACAACTTTTAACCCACTCCCACATATGAGTCAGAGTTCTGAAACAGGGTGTGCAGACAGATTGGTTTGAAACTTGTGCCCTAGAAACTGCTTTCACCCATGAAGTGAAGGTTATCAACATGCACATCACAAGCAGTTGCTCAGTTCCCATACAAATTCCCTTGAAAAGCTCACTCGCAGTGAGCTGTCTCCCTACCTGTAATTGATAGTAACGATGAATGGATCTCAGATTAAGTTCCCAGTGCTCTGTTACTCCCTCCCCTCATCCGGGAAGCATGGCACCTACCTCTGACCTCTCATTTTTCTTGCTTGGCTCTCTACAGCTAGCCTAGCTGTACATGACACTTCAGGCAGGTAATGGAAAGTTTCAGCAGAAACACTACTTTCCTACTGCTAATTATGCAGACTGAGGACATGCTGTGGCTTGTGGCTGGGGTGTGCCAGAGGTTTGTTCCCGTAAGGAAGTGGGAGGCAGAAGGGATGCACACGGGGAGCTGGGAACACAACAGGGCTCAAAGGGCCCTGGTGCAGCAAGGGGTGACTCTGCTTCCATAGGGTCAATGTTCTGGAGAGCAGCTACCTGCCTGGCTTGGTCCCAAACCCACGTCCCTTAATGAGCTGTGGCACACCACTGACTTCTTCTGAAATCAATAGATTTCCCTAAAAAGACCAATAGGTAGTTTGCCGAAAACCAGTGGCACAAAACAGTCCAGAGACTGGAGTATATTAAAAAGCCAGGAATTATAATTTCAAAATAAGCAAAAAGAAGTGAGTGCAGAAGTAAACCACCTTAACCGTGCATATTAAAATACCGAGAACCCATTTCCTGACTGCAGATTGTATAGCCACATCTCTTTATTTAATATTTTATAAATCCACAGCGTTTTTCAGTATTTTACCATTGCTTTAATGGTAACAACAATAATAATAATTCATCCAGGCCCGGGCTGGGAATTGCCTATGCATAATAATGAGTTAGTTTTTACCTACTAAAATTACCTTTATCTCTCATAAAAATAAGATGCTTGAATTTTATTATATATATATATAAACAAAATAATGTGTTGCTTATCTTTTAAGCTGAGAGTCAACTAATGCATCCACAAGCACTTTGCTCACCTACCAAAGGCTGCTTGTAAGGCAGGGGTCAATGCATATTCTTAGCATGCTTAGCATAAAAGCTCAGTAGTGAATGGAACAGCCCCACTCTGTGTAGTCAATCCAAACTCCTGTGATGTACTTTTCTCCAGCATATTTTTTTCTTTCTAAAGTAGGGGCTAATTCAGGTTGGAATGAACTTTGAGAGGCTCCCAGTTGAAGCTGCTCAGAGCAGGGTCAGCCCTGAGGTCAGACCAGTTAGGTCTTGAAAATCCATGGATGGAGCCTGCACAACCCCTCTGAGCATGCCGCTCAGCTTCCTCAAGATGAGGAAGTTTCTTCTTATTTTCAGCCTGAACTTGATGTGTTTTGGCTTACGTTGAGTGTCCTGCATGGCTGTAAGGAGCTGGGCTGCACCTTCCGGACACCCCCTTGGTGATCGTGAAGGCTGCTCTACCAGGAGGAGCATCATTACACATTCAATATGTTTAGAAGACAGACTACCTGATGAGGAGCAGAAACGGGGAGGCCTACTTTCTTTCAGATCCCTTGTTCCCATCCCTCTCCCCAAGGTATGTCCAGTTACCCCCACATCAGCTCTCCCTAAGCTCCCAGATTCCTTCTGTACCCCACGTCCATCCCTCCCTTTTTCCTCCCTTCCCACAGCACCCTCCCACCTCTCCTGGCTGCAGACTGGCACACAGGTCACGCAATAAATATAACTTGCTCCAGCTGCGCATGTCCTAAACAGCCAGCCAAAATGTGCATGTGGCTGGCAGGCCGCACTCGTGAGTGGCAGCTCAGTTTATGCTGTAGCCTTT